CAAAGTGGACCCACAAAATAGCAGCAACAAAGTCTTGATCAACCTGTATTTGGCAGAAAATCCTCATCTGTGCACCCCTCTGATCCTGGTTTCACTTTGTGGCAAGAATGGCCAAATTTTCTGTGTTGACATTGTGGATCTCCTCCACTCCATACAGCGTCCGTATCCTTTTAATGGCAGGTTCACACCATTTTACTGGACCAGATCTGGTCCAGAAAATGGTGTGAACCTGCCTGCAGTTGCAGTGCATTCCAGACCAGACAAAATGAGATGTTCAGTATGTTTCTGGTCTGGTCTGGAACGGACTGTGCTGGTGTGAACAGAGGCCAGCAATAGCATAGGGATACAATAGGATGCATTTTTGGTCCCGAAACAATCTGGTCTGGTCTGGAGATGATGTGGTGTGAATGGGCCCTTAAGAATGGCAGTGCTCGCAGTGATTACACGGAGGACGGCCGTGTGGAACTTCAAAGTTTCAAAAGGAAAATCACTAGCGCCCGTGAAGTAAGAACATAAATTCTGGTTCTGTTTATTGAATCATTGTCACATGCGAGGAGTGTATGTTACGCTGCTCAAGTGTCACTATGTCACCCTGAGGAAGGGAACTTGCGTGACCCCAGAAATGTTGCCTTTCATGAAGCATGTGACAATGTTCCAATAAACAGAACCAAGATTTATGTTCTTGCTTCACAAGTGCTGGTGGTTTTCCTTTTGATGCCCAACTTCCTTGACTTTTGGATTAAACCTTGCTCCCTGTATTGTAGCACCACCCCCATCCAATAAGAGCTTGCTTATTGGTCACTCTCATTGGGTTTGAAGGTGGTGGTTAGGACTTAAAGTGACATTAAAGTATAAAATCCCCCCCATTCTGCTTTAAGGATTTACCTTAAATGATGCCTCTTGATCCGATCATCTTCGTCCTTCCAGTAGTTTTCAGGAGTCCCTCCAGCGCTGGTGCCGGTCTCTGATTCAGTGCTGACTGCTGTCACTTCCTGTCCCACTGTGTCTGTCGGCGTACATGCTGCGTGCATTGTGTCTCTCCTCTTCTCTTCTCCCAGCCAAAGATCTCTGCTGCGCATGCGCCCGCCCCATGATCCTTGCGGCCGCCCCGAGAATCTTCACATCTTTGGCAGGAGCACACAACAGAGACACAGGTAAGTTTGAACCTTTTTGTTAACTTTTTCTTTTTTATGTTTTTGCATACACAGTATCTACTGCTTGCTATCAGTAGATATATGCAAAAAGCAAGAGGGTTTAATTATCCTTTAACCCAGAAGTCAGAAAGCAATGCATCAGTCAGATGCAGTTGTTTTCTTTTTCAGGAGGTTTTTTTTTGTTGTTTTTAGAATTTCACAGTCACGTTGTAAGAAGATACAGTGACAGTTAATCAGGTACACAAATACAAGATGATAACAGTACAACCCTTGTGCAGCTTTACTGTTCTACTGTTGCCAAATACCAGCAGGATGAGGCATGATTTTATGGATGGTGGTTAAAATAAAGAAGAAAAATATGTGCATGATGTCTTCTTAACACAGGGTGGGAAAAATGAATAAGACTCTCGTAGAGGCGGGCCAAGCATGTCCAGCTTCTCCCCGTAACAGCCAGAAAATAGTAGAGAGCTAACCTAATAGGGCAAAGATAGGCAACCTTGGCATTCCATCTGTTGTGGGACTACAAGTTCTATGAGGCATTGCATAATTCTAACAGCCACGGGAATGACTCCCAGAGGCAGAGGCACGATGAGTTTGCTGAACTGGAATGCTGAGGTTGCCTAACCCTGTAATAAGGAATGGGCAAAGATGAGTGGTGGAGTAAAAGGACAAAAAGAAAAAGGCAGAAGAAAGGATATAGAGCGTGTGCGGGGTCCAGCCTGGTTCCCCAACAGATACTGTTGTTTTCGCAATGGGGGGAAGCACCAATTGGTTGCCTCTGCCTGCATGGCCAGTTGATGCCAAACATTTTAGTTTGTGATTTAGCGCTGCTTTGACTGCTCTTCCGTTGCTAGCAATGTTTTTTGGCAAATATGTATATTGTTATATTTGTTAATTTCAACAGTTCCTCAATGAAAACCCGTATCCTGCTTTTCTATCAGATTGGAGTTCTTAAAATGCACCTCAAAAACAAATGACGGCAAACTGAGATAAAGAGCTTCATGGAGAGGAGAGGAGATGGTGGAAGTTCACTTACACTTTACAGTCTCTGAGTAAACATTTGTTGGAGGAACTTTTACTATCTGCGTGTTGACCAGATAAAACGAGAGGGCAGCTTCCTCTTTCCTTTTAGATTTTTTTCAGATTGTTTGGCATTTTCTTTAAAAAAAGCAATTGTTCCAATGTGTAACATATAGATGAAATTCCATCTGGATGGCTTAAACATTTGCTGACACATCACTTAACCTTTTGCTCTTGTGGTTTGCAGTGTCGCCAGTGTTTTCCCAGCACTGCTCAGTTGTGGCACCTGCTTGGCTGCCCAGCATTATCTGATCTTCCTCCTGTCGGCTGCCATCACAATACTGCTAAGGATGGCATCAGTTATAATTGAAAGCAGGTATGGAGAACTTGGTGAAAGTGTGTTATTTGCTATGAAACTGGCAGTTGACACACAATGCAAAAATGTCACTTTTTTTTTCTGTGGGGCTTTGCGGTACTTGAAGGATACGTTTTCCAATGCTGATATTCCACTGGATATGCTTTGAATTTGTGGCTCTGCCCACTTGCGCCTCTGCCCACTTGCGCCCAGTATGAGTTTGAGCCCATTCGTAGTGGTGGATTTTCCGATTTTTGTATCAGAGATTGATGGATTAGGGGAGCAGGAGCCAGGATTCCAAAGGTAGGGTCTTGCTGCTGGATACATAGGAGAAGCCAGAAGAAGAAATGAAAGTGTATGTGAAGCCTATAGCCTGTCTGAGAGCTGCTATACCGAGGAGTACAAGAGGCCAATGGCAAGTCAAATTCAGTTACTTAGTCTAGCAGCATTTAAAAATACATTTTATTATTTTTAGTGAGTGCATGTCAGCATTATTGGGGTGTTTTTTTATATCCTCCTCAAGTTGAGCTTTAAATTGATTTAATCATTTGGTGGACTGACTTTTTAACCTGCCTGTGCAGTGTGTGACAAAGGCATCCGGGTCCATTACAGGAATTCTTTAGGCGTCGAAGAAGGAACAATGAGTATTTCAAAGTGGCCACAATTGATGTCATAAGAAAAGCAGGCTGGCACTGCTGACTTCTTCTGCTTCCTGACTGTCATGCTGACCCTCTGGCTTCAGTACATTGCATTGTGGACTCAGAACAACTGTACAGTTATGGGTTTCATTATCTTCAGAGCATCAAAGCTAGAGGGTCATAACAACCATGCAACTAGAATGAGGTTAACATGGACAACCCCCATGTTCTTTTCATGGTAGGTGAACTGCATTTTAAACGTAATCTGTACATTTTTCATCCCTAAATATAACCTTCATGGTTTTCTTTTCCCGCTTTCTTACTTATAACACCTTGGACCCTATGTCGTTGTCTCGTAGGGTTTCCCCCTGTTTGGCCCAAGACCATGAGCTGTCCTGCAATGGATGTTGCCCCCATTGCAGCATTGGACACTTGTAACATCAGGTCATGCAGTGCCAAAATTAGCTTGCAGAATCAATCGGGGTGTGCTGGAGCATTCTGTGCCACCTCTGTACACCGATCACAACGTGCAATAAACCTGTTGAAGGTCACGCTGAAGTCACCAAGAATTATATCAATCAACAACTTCCTCAAATCTTTTCTGTCACTTCTGCATTTTCACTGTGCTCAGCTGCACGCTTCATCTCGTGCTTCGATCGCACTGACTCGCGTTTAAAGAAGAACTCCAAAAAGCCCTTTTTATATCTAAACTGGTAACAGAGTCACAATGCAGTTCCCGAATGTTATAGTTCCTCTATTCTTTTATTAGGGTACGTGGACATTTTTGTTTCTTTTGTACCAACAATTTCTTCATCATTATATGGGGTGGCACCACCTTACCGATCTTTCATCCATGGGCTTGCTATTTACATGCATTTCTAGGCACCGTCAGGTGTAAAAGAGCATGTTGACGTGCTGATGGGGCATGCTGATTGGTTGCTGTGGCCTAGAAGGGAGCCTGACATAACTCCCTGTAACTGTTTACTTCAACCTAGGGAATATTGAGTCAGCTAAACTGAATTTTGTTCTCCTCTCTAAGCTTGTTTTGTTTTCTAATTGTCATCTGCCATGACTTCAATCTGACCTTACCACCACCTCTGACTTGGTATCTCACTTTTGATAACGGAATCCTTGGCCTGATCTATTCTATGATCCTCTCCAATTGCTTGTCCTCTGCCTCAGCTCCTCTGTTCTACCAGTTGCTATCGATGAGGCAATATCAACATTTACATTAGGGGGGCTACTTGTAACCAGAGTTTGACCCACATTATCACTGGCTCTTGGGCAGTTTGGATATCACTAGAGTGTCTTTAGGCAGGAGTCTTTTTTTCATCCTACTGGTAGTCCCAAGCATCCTCCTAAATCTTTGCTCATCAGTGCTCAGGTGAGGGATGTTTTAGTTTTCAGCATATCACATCTGAACCAAGGGACAAATAGAAGCTTTGCTCCCATAATACAGTGAGATCTCCTTTTACTCTATTCTGTAATGATGGTGGACAGATTGGATGTCACTTTGGTTTTAGATTGTGCAAATTTTGTTTTAATTACTGTGTGTAATAATGTTGGCCAGCCATTTGAGCCACTTTAAACTAGTTTTTAATAAAAAAAAAACCAAAGCAACTGACCCTCAATAATTTACATACAGTATATATCAGTGTGTATGGGAGGGATTCTTGTAGGTAACCATACTCTGCTTGTTGACTTTTTCAATCCAAATAGTAGTTTAAATTGGCTTAAAATTGTTACGAAATTGTCATTGTGTCTGGCCAACACTGAGGCTACACCAGTTTTGTTGTTATTTGACCTGTTTGATGCCATTTTGTTATCTTGCAGGATGATGTGATGATGCCACAAAGAGTCAGACTGCAGTATGAAGCGGCTGTTCATCTTCCACAGAGTGTGAGTATTGACATTCTGTATGGATTAAGTTTTTCCTGATAGGTTTTGTGATGAGAGTTTTGTGCCATTTCACCCAATTCATAAAACTACAATAGCACTATAGAAGTGACCTCTTGAGCAGTCTTATCACATATGATATTGATGAGAGACTACTTTATCATGCCTTGATGAATTACAGCAATTAAAGCAGCTTCAATAGGCTTGTAATGCCTTCCATTTAGGGAAGAACCAACTATCATGTTTATCAATGTACCAGCATTTCTAATCACATGGTTCTCCGAGTTCAACTTCCTCTTTTATCTATCTTTTAAGGACAGAGGTGATATAGGCAGTTGATGTTTAATTAAATCTTTGCTTTTTCTGTAAAGTTCGGCTTAGACCTGTCCCCTTCCCTGTCTAATTTCTTTATTAAGGCTCTGCAATTTGTCTAAGGACCCAAGGAGGTGTGAAGTGGGGTTGGGGGAGGGGGCAAGTGCGACTTTGCAAAGTTTGCATACATGTTCAACAGGCCAAACTTTTGGTTTTCATTGAAGGTAAATCTCTTTTTTTTTTAATCATATACTCAAGTCGATTTGCCCAGATTTTTGACATGTTGAAGTTAAAGCGGTTGATTTTCCCATTGTATGCTTTCCTAGTAACAGTGGTCAGCAGGACAAGTAGAATAGAGTGGATGAATCTCCCTAGCGGGGGCACACTCCGTGTTACACGCCAGACAGAGGTCCTAACCCTTCCTTACTGCATGGAAAATCTGAATGTTGAATTTAAAGCAGATGTGTAGTTAAAAGTTAATACATCTTTATTATCACATTCATCATGAAATCTTGAAGAATGGGCACCAGACAGTACGCTCTGCCGTGATAAAGGTAACTCCAGTACCGGGTCCCTTGGCCAGTGCTGAGGAGTTGGTCATGTTGCAGAGGCAGATGTCCTTGAGGACTGCCAAGTGAAGACTGCTCATTAACTGTCTTGCCTGTCCTGTCTACATATTTAGTCCTAAAATTCTCTAACAGAGACTACGTGACCTGTTCATGTGTGGGCTACATATGTTAGTTTACTGCTTTTTTGTTTATCACGGGTTTGCTTTGATGCCAACCACACACAAGTATTTCTAGAAACTGAACTGATCATTGCTAAACAAGATCACACAGGAGACATGGAGCTGCTGAGACTGGTGATTGTTTGGCTACACAGTTTTTTTTGTTTTTTAAATATAACCTCTATAACTGCTCATTTCATTAGCAAAGGGTATGAGCTGGCACTGGTCATTTGTGGATTGTCACATTACACATGCCAAATGTTGTCATCTAATGCCAAACTGAATGTAGGGTCATTGCCCTTTATTTTCGAATCAGGGTGTAGAAACTGGCAGCCCTAACACTATTGGGGATCATTATTTCAGGAGCTGTATAGCTTCTCCTGAAGTCCTCTTGGTTGTTGGACCAGTAGATTAATAGGCCTCATTGACACTATGGGCTTTTAGGTGAAACAATGCACAATATTTTATTCAGTGGTACAATTATTACATTTATACAGTTACATAGGGTGTGTATTCAGACAGTTCCCTGTTGAGGGAGTGCCGAGCTACAATTTTATCACTTGATGCTTCCTGAACAAGACATACATTTCTGCTTCTCCTAAAGTTAGTGCAACTCCGGCTAAAACTTTTTTATTTCGTTTTTAATAGTGTAAGCAATCATTAGAACTTCCGTTGGGCAGATTTATCTTCGCTTCCTAAAAGGTATATCAAAGAAGCGCTAGAACTTTAACACTTGTTCATCAGAATACAGAAAGATCATAATTATTCGATGAGCTGACTTGTAAGGCTTCTCACACGGAGCAAGGCTCCCCTTCAGTGGTTACCCAGAAAGTGAACCAGAGTCACTTTGGAGAGATTTCCATTCCCTTTTTTGTAGTGGTTTCAGTACAGGAAGATAGGGAAACCTTTACATACACCACAAGCACCAGACCCATAGCGGAAATGTCCGAAAATGCTTAAATTGTCCATAAAATGATTATATAAAACCGCCAATGCACTTTGAGAGTAAATGCACTTCCTCTTCCTCGGGGCTTCCTGTTTGAAAAGGAATGAGATGGAGCAGAATTATATCCCAAAATTCTAATTCCTTTTCAAGCAGTCAGCTAAAGATGTATGTGGAATCTGCTTTACCAAGTCCAGGTGAGCCTTTCTCAAATATCACTGATAGTCCTGATAAAGGGGGAGCGTGTTTGCTCCCAAAACACATTGACTGTTTTATATGATTATTTTATAAACAATTTAAAGCATTTTAGGCTCTTCCACCATTGGCCTGACACTTGTGGCGTATATACATGTTTTGCTTCCCTCCCTTCCTGTACCTGAGCCACAATAAAAAGGGACTGGGAATGGAGACAACTGTCCCATCTTGGACAGTTGTCACTGAAGCAGGTGTCCCCAATGGAAGACTTCCCCTCTATTACTGTTCTGATGACATCGTTAAGATGTATATTTCCCAACGTATGCTTTCCCAGTGACAGTGGTCAGGAGGACAAATAGAGTGGGTGAATCTCCCTAGTGGGGGCACACACAGTAATAAAAAAACAGAGACCCTAAGCCTTCCCTTCTCCATCCAAAATTTGGCTGCAGACACACTTTAATTGCAGGAGTCAATCATGTATCCTATGAATGCCGTAGGCTTTGCCCACTTCTTATACTGCATAGGACAGAACAGTCTCGGGTGAGTATGCTTCTCTCTATTCTTGTGTGTGACTTTGATTAAATGTTGTGATATGCATTTATATCTTTTTAAATTTGTGTGGCTTTTATATGTTTTTGAACAATACATTTTTATGCACCTGTGCACGTATAACTGTGTGTTTGTGCGTGTTTTTATGTATAGCAGGTGTTTACATAGCCATCTTTGGGAGTGTGCATTTGTGTGTACACATAAGCGAATGTATGAGAGAAGAGTTGAGTGTGTATGATGAATGAATGATGAATGATATGCATGGGTGAGTGTAGAGTGTCAAGGATTGGGTGACAGTGTGTGATTATGGGGTAACAGGAGCTTTTGTGCATCATTTTTGTGTCCCGGTTTGCAGGTCGAATGCAACATGCATGAATCATTTACTAAGGCGGCGTCTGGATAGTAAGTGGAAGTAGTCTGCACAGATAAAGAAGGAAAAAAACAAAACAAAAAGACTTGCAGGGCTATTCACAAAAGGATGAAGAGTTTGGAGAAGGCAGGAGAAGGGAAAAATCTAGGACAACATAGCTGACCTGGAAACATTCTCCAATTCAGCTCACTTTCCAGTTCAGCTATGTTGTCCTAGATTGTTCACTTCTCCCGCCTTCTCCAAACTCTTCACCCTTTTGTGAATAGACCTGTTGATGTTTCTGCTCCTTCAGAGGTGTTAGCATTCAGCCCTAAATACCTTTCAGCATTCCTCAGAGAGCAAACCTAATCAGTACTGGTTGGACGGAGAAGCGCGATACAGGCAAGGTATTTTTACCTCCTCTGGAATCTATTTTTCAGGATCACTCACAAGTCGCATAGCACACATTTTTTTTAGAATTGTTCCTCCTCTGCAGAGATGGTTTCCGGCAAAATTGCAGGTTATTGTGACGGCGTCCCTTCGCCACTTGTCACTTTTGACATTTTTTTCTTCTTGTGCAATTGCCGCTCTCTAAACAAAAATATGTACTAAGGCAAAAAGCAGCTTTTCTTTTTTACACTTGGCCTTTCAAAACAGTGCGCGTATTCTATTGTGTGCATGGTCCCTTGTGATCTTTGTGAGTCAAAATATTTATATGTAGCTTTTGCACAGACTGCATATATACACAGTATTTTTTTATATAAATAGTCTTTTGCACGCACACGTGTGTGTGTGTGTGTGTATGTGTGTGTTCATACACAACAATACTGTCTCTTTAATTTTGTAAATTTCATCATCGGTCAATCATTTTCCAGCCACATTTCTTCAGGTCTCACTGTTCAGCCTTTTATGGCTGGTTCTGATGATGTCCCAATGTCTTTGGGACAGCACCTGATGGTTGAGGGCAGTCATTATTGAGAAAGAAAAGCAATTTGCTGGTTCGTGAGGCTTTCCTATTTAGTGTTGTTTTTCCCCATTGCTGGTACTGTCTGCGCCCAGCTCCCAATCCCTCCTGCTTTTGGGATATAAGCTGGCTAGGTGATATCGCGTGATGGTTAGATTGTTCAAGCACCTGTGTTGGTTTTGTAATGTCTATGCCCAAGTTTAGGGTTGTTCACAAAGCAGGTGTAGCAGGGTGGTTCAGACTGCAATTCTTCCTGGGGGCTTTTAAGGCATTCCCAACCAGCTAGGGGATGCAGTCTGTATGGTGTGTTCTGGGTTGACCCATGGCCTCTTCCTACTTGGACAGGGTTGGTGCTGCTATGGAACATTCTGAAGGGGCATCACTACAATATGCCCTAAATTCCTCAACCCAAACGTTTTCATTCATGTGATATGCCATCTTGTGCTGCTGATCTCCTCCAGCCACTTCCTTCTACATGCACGTTCTTCAGCATTGGCTGCACAATATTGCCCTGGACCAGCTTCCCGATTATGACACTGGTGGGCCATGCCTGCACAGTGTGTCGAGAAGACCACTTGAAGTCCCCACTAGAGAGTATGGTGGAGTACAACTGAGAGACAGTTATAACCTGTTATAACAGGAAGTACCAAAACAAGGACCTTCATGACAGGGCTACCAGATGATATTTCAATGAAAGCTGCAGATAGATATAAAAAGATTAAAAATAACTTTTGAAAATCAATTTATCAAGCCTATATGAGATTTTAGTGATTTATATAAAGAGTGTATACATTTACATAGACTTTAAGGTATTACAGAGAGTAAAACTAGCCCTTAGACATGGGATGGTAGTTAGTAATGTGGATGTAACGTACTGAAAAGCTCTTCTGAAAGATGTTTTTATGAAGACATCTTGCAAGGTATGTTCATAAACTTGCAATCTTGGGTGTGAATATTTATGCAA